TTCTTGGTCCATCTCCAGCTCTGACTGTGGCCAAAACATTATTTCAAAGAGCTCACTGTATTTAATGGCACAATACGTTTTTCAATTCAGAAATGTTTTTTTTTTTTCTGACAAATCTTGTTTGGATGATGAGAGAGAAATTTTTAATGAAGGTAAAATCCAGACTCTGTGGACACTAATCCATTTGCAAAACAATAATAATAATAATAAAAATAATTAAAAAAATCAGGAATTTTCTTTTTCAATTTTTGAACCAAATTATTTTTTCCCATCTCATCATGTTTGATGAATTAAAAACTGCTCAATACACAAGTTTTACAAAATGTCATTTTAACTCAATTTTGAATTCAAATAATTTCCTTTCATAAAAAAATTGTGCATCTGTTGTGCTTTTATCTTGATTCACATTTAATTTAAGTAGAGGCAATTACGTACCCAAAACAGCAGAAATAACCAGTGTAATAAAGACTGGGGTTCCCACCATTGCTAGCAGCTGAGGACGTGTACAGCCATGGATTTCTGTTTCTGCAAACAAAAGAAACAAACAAATCTAAAAAAAAAAAAAGTTGTCAGCTTTAAGGTTCAATTTGTTTTAGACAGTGAATATCAGCTCTTCACCAGTTTGGTCCTTTTAAATGTCCTTTTCAGCTTCAGGCTATAGTTGAAACCATCTTCAACATCAGTGTCTTTCAGTTGTAACTAACAGCAGAAGGCTGCTGGGTTGGGATAAAGTCTGTGACCCATCAGATTTGATGAGAAAACAATGTTATTGAGTTGCTGTTGCACATGCGTTTCATCATCCTGTGCCTTATACATGAGTGTCATCATGGTGCTGTGGTGCCCTCTGACAGTAAGAAGCATGGCTTTCTGTCTCCAAGAGATACGTTTCTATTCAAAAAGTCCACAGTCCATCCTGTAATCCACTAGGACCAGTTCCAGCTTCCAATACTCCTCCACAAAGAAAACAAGAAAAAGGTGGTTTCAAAAACGAAATACATCTTCAAAATCTGCGCCAGGTTTAGTGTGTTTTTGYAGAGGCAACAGCTATATGACAAAAGGGAGATTTATGCATCTAAAACAACCACATTAGATATAAAACTTAAAGTGCCTGTGACATTTTTTTTTAGGATGGCCTCCCTTCTCCCCCTATAGCCATCCTTTCCACACCATTAT